TAGACCAGGCTGGCCTCAAACTCAGAAATCTGCCTGCCTCTGCCTCCCAAGTGCTGGGACTAAAGGCGTGCACCACCACTGCCCGGCTTGTTTCTGTTTTTAGAGGCCTTAACTCACAGCGATCTTCTGGCCTCCACCCCCGAGCGCTGACGACAGGCTTGAGCCCCCATACCTGTCCAGTAGACATTTGCTTACATTTCCCCAGCAAAAGCGACGGTTCTTTGCTCCTGTGTAAGTGGACCAAGCCCCAGGCTCTTCTATTAGATGTGGGTGTGTTTGGGGCTGTCGTCCTGATGATCACAGCCCTCGCGCGAGGGTCACCTGTTGTCCATGGACTCTCGTTGTTCTCGGAGCAAAGCTTGCTTCACTCAGCGTAGAATTCGCAAGTCACCCCGTGCTAGCGAAGTGTTCCTTCCCGTGGCTGAGTCGTGTCCTTTGGTATCGCATCCTTTGGTATGTACATGCTGTTTCCTTTCCCTGTTCACCTGTGGCCGAATGCCTGAGATGCTTCCAGCTTCTGTTTCTAGAACCAGAGCCACTCAGAACATTCCTTTAAAATCAACATTTGTCTTGCTTTTAGTTATTTGTACTACGTTTGCGTGCAGTACTCTCAGTGGCCAGAGGGGGCGTCAGACTACCCTGAAGTTGAAGCCACAGGAGGTTGTGAGCCGCCATGTGGTTGCTGGGAACTGAAGGTGGGAACCTCTGCAGCCAGTGTTCTTAACTGCCCAGCCACCTCGCCAGCACCAGGGTCCCATTCTGTAGCTCAGGCTAGTCTTGCACTCCAGATCCTCCTGCCTCAGGCCCCCAAGGGCTGTTCCTGTGTCTCTGTCTTGTGGCTGTGATCTGCCTCTGTCACATGAAAGCTTACCCAGAGCCCTTCAGGACCTTTAGGGTTTGTGAGAAGCTGTTCTGGAGGGCGTGTGGGACTGCAGAGCCAATGGGTGTGGCCTGTGATTCACACGAATTAGCTTGGGTCAGGGATGCGGCTGCCACTGTCTCATACACTCCAGACACTTCTGGAAACCTGCCCTGTTCTTTTTTTTTTTTCTCCTGAGCCTTCCTGGCGAGAGGCCCTGCCCACCACCCCCTTTAAAACTTCCTGCAGTTCTAGTCAACTTGAGTGGCCCAGGATGGCTGGCTCTGCTTGAGGGAGAGGTTGTCATTGATGTCTCACAGTGTGACCGCTTGTACAGGACAGCCTCCCACTTACAGAGCAGACAGGACTCCTGCAAAGTGGAGCCTGGGAATCTATCCTCCCGGGTCCTCTTCTGGAATCCTGGACTGCCGGAGGTGAGCTTGTAAGGCCCTGCTCCCTCAGAGGCGAGCGCAAGCCGCAGTATGTGGCGGCTGAGTCAGCAGCACACCTTTCTGGCAGGCTCTCCCTCCCCCTCACTGTCCTGAGTTCACCCTGGACCTCAGGTCAGACAAATGTCTGCCTCAAACTCGGGCTCCACGGAAGCCAGGCTGTGGGTGGCTGCTACGAGCCCCAAAGACCACCTTATCTGCACCCTCAGATCTGTGACATGTTGCCTCCCAGAGCAGAGAAGCTTTGCAGAGAGGGTCAAGCTGGGGTCCTGGCACGGGACCATCCTGGATTATATAGGACTTGCTGTCATCAATCTGGTCCTCAGAAAGAGGCAGACGGAGTGGGAGACACTGCACTGCCGGCTGCAAAGGAGGAGGAGGACGGGGCCTCTGGCTACTGTGAGGGACTAGCTGTAGCTACTTCCGGAAACTTCCTTGTAGGCCTGGGCTGCAGCCATGGGATGCCTGTGTGGAGCCTCTGATGGCACAACTGTTTAGGAATAAAAGAGCTATCTTTTATGCTGGGACTGAACCCAGGGCCTTTGCACATGTGATGTGAGTTTTCTTTCACTGAGCCATGTTCTGAGCCCCTTACTGAGTGACTCTAGGCAAGTATACAGTGTGCCTGTCTCAAAACAACAAAAAGGTCAGGGTGGAGCACAGTGGGTGCTTCACCCAGTATGAACAAAGCCCAGCTCCCACCTCAGCACTATGGGGACCCAGCCATGCTGGCCACACCTGTCACCCAGTCCTCAGGAGTTAGAGGCAGTCAGGCTAGCCTGAGCTGTACAACGAGTTTACATAGTCCAGCCTGGACTACATGAGATGCTTGTCTCAAAACAAAACAGTTCAATGAGCAGACCTACAGTCCACCGGCCTGAGCCTTAGTCCTCCCTCACCCCAGTGCCCGATGGAGCCTCTGAAGGAAGGGGGTGTGGAAGGCTGGTCACTGTCCCTCACATTATCTGAGCCATCCTGGCCAGCGAGAGAAAAAAACTTAGGAGTCGAGGCAAAAGGAAAAGGCAGGTTTTTATTATGGAGGATTTGCCCTCCTGTGACCTCATTCCACACAATAGTAATACTGGGCGTGGCACACGGAATTTTTCTTTTAAATCAGAAATAAAAACCAACCAGTGTCACAAAGCAGAGGGAAGGGGAGGAACCAGCCCTGGAATTGGAACGGGGAGGAGCCAGCCTTGGAGTGTGAAGGGGGCGGGGCCAGCCCTGGAGTGCGAAGGGGCGGAGCCAACCCTGGAGTGGGAGGGGAAACGGAAAGTGCCCTGTGACATTGGCCGGTGTGTATGGCTTCTGTGTAGGGTGCACCCCCATGTCCACCATCCTTCTGAGGTTGGAAGTCCCTCCTGGTGGCTCAAGCTGCAGCAGGTGTGACAGCGTTGGTTTTTGTGTTTTGTTTGTTTTTAGACAGTGTCTATATAAACCCTGGCTGTCCTGGAACTCACTCTGCAGACTAGGCTGGTCTCTAACGCACAGAGATCCCCCTGCCTCTGCCTCCCAAGTGCTGGGGTTGAAGGCATGGCTCCTGATGGCCCTGTTGTTTCTGGGTTCCCTAAGTGTCTGTAAGCCAAGGCAGGGCTGCAGTGGGTAGGAAGGTACACAGGGACTATTGAGACCCAAGGGCTGTCCTGGATACATCAGCCAAGCATGTCCCACCTTCCCTGGGAACAAGAGGTCACTTTGTCCTTGGCCTGTGAGTCGCCTGGGGAATGGGCACTGGAGGTGTTGGCAGACATGCAGATCTGAGGTTTTGTCCTAGTGGTGAGAAACAAAAAGCTGCAGCAAACACAGGCTGGCCAGCATAGCTGCCTGCGACCTCCAGAGCCCAGAATGTGGCTGAAGAAGACCCTGCAGTCCTGATCCTCCTGCCTCCACATCCCCTGTGCCCATGCCTGGTTTCTGTGAGCTTGGGGTGGAACCTAGGTTTCTAGCTGGGTGAGTGTTCTTCAGCCCCAAAAGCCAGATGCTTTCCTCTCTCCTTGCTGTCCCCTGCCAGTGCAGCTGGGGACACACACCCTGGAATCTGGTCTAATGCAAGATGTCTGTAGTTTTGGGAGGACATTGGGTTTTCTGATTCAACCACAGGTTCTGAGAAACAGGCTCACCAAAGTCCCTGGCCCTCTCTGACCAGTAACGGGGAGCTGACGCACAGGAGGAGCCAGACCCTTGGTCTGTGCTCTCTGGGACCCAGCCCATGGAGGGGAAAATGGGGGCTCCCCTCTTACCACCTGTAATGTCTCCCTTTAGTCACACTGCAGACTTCTTTCCCTGTTTCCATCAAATGAATCTGGGGTAGCCTGCCACCTTACCTAGGTGGTATGTTGTGCCTAACGGGCTAGGGGATGAGCTGTAGCCCATTCACTTTCCCCATGGCAACGTGAGAGCCGTGCAGGTATCCGCCTGGCACAGGCCTTTGGAAGCAGATTGCCACCAGAGCTACGGGGAATAACTGGACTGGCCTCACTTCTGCTGTTTGCTCTCAAGCTGATCCGGCAGGAGAAAGAGGCAGCTGGGGTCTCTCAAACACTTAGGATGCCTGGGTGTATGGCTGCGGACCACGCAGGCACACCGGCGCCCTGTCCTCCATACCTGCCACTGTCACTGTCGTAGACAGCCAGCATGTCGTGGTCGGTCCAGTCCTACGGCAGACATGCAAGCACAGGCCTGTCAGGGAGCTACTCTGGAGACAGAGGCGGGAAGACATCCAGTTCCAGGCCAGCCTGGACTCTAGGGCTCTGCTCGCCAAAATAGAAAGAGAAGAGGTCTGACTCAGGGGTCTAAAATCCACCAGTAAGGGTCTGGGGGCGTGATTAGGGGCGGAGCCCTGCTGAAAATCCACCAGTGAGAGGGCTGGGGGCGTGGCCAGGGATGGAGTCCCGCCTAGAATTCCCCCCCCTCCCCCCCCCCCCCCGCCCCGACGAGGGAGTGCAGAACAGGGCCACTGTCCTCACACTGAGGGACTTGGGTTCTAGCTAGTTAAAACATTGTTTGATCCAGGAAGGAGAAAGGGAGATCTGGAGCCACAGTCTCGATGTGGGATGGAGAACCCCACCACTCCTCAATCACCTCAAGATAATTAAGTCTGCATCTCTGCCCTCACAACCACCTGGGAAACTGGGTAACTGGGAGAAAACAGGGAGCCACCAATGACCACACGGATCTCAGGTTTAGGAGACAAAATTACACACTCGGCCATACCGGCAAGCGCTTCCTTCCTATGGAGACCCGGATGCCTGTTTCTGGAATGGGCCGGAGAAAGGGCGTCACTGTGCAGACGACAGGGCCACTCAAGAAGGACACTGGGCAGCACAGGGTTCATTGTGTGTGCCGCGTGTGGAGCCAGAGGCCAAGCCTGGGTGTCCTCCTCTGTCTTGTGTTTGAGGCAGGATCCCTCACTGTCTGGAGTTTAATGACAGCTAGGATGGCAGGTCCCTCAAGCCCTGGGAATCCTTCTGTCTCCGCCTTCCGAATGCTGGAGTACGGCCTTGTGACACTACACCGCATGCTTGGTGTGCAGCCTGTGAATCGCTGCTAGAGCCCTCAGCTTGCAAGGCACGCTCACCAACTGAGCCCCCCCCAGGCCAACTAATGTCACATTGGTGATTCCTGACCAGAGAGGGTGGAGGGGATGAGGCTAATGGCTCAGTTAGGCCAAGCAGTCAGAGCCCCCGGGGGTCACAAACTCCAGCTAGGCCAGGACCATCTGGGCATTTACAATGGTTTCTGTTCCTTTAGAATTCAAAGGAGGAGGGAGTCAGATATCTTTCTTACAGGAAAACTTGGACGATATCTTCCGGGTGGGAAGAAGGAGAGGGAGAGGAAAAGGGAAGAGAGAGAGAGAGAGAGAGAGAGAGAGAGAGAGAGAGAGAGAGAGAGATCTAGAGAATTACACAAGGCTTTTTGTCTTTGAATGGATTCTCAGAGGCTGGCACACCAACCAGCAAGGGGTCGGCCCGGGCATGCTGTTCACAGTAGCTCATCAGCTCTGACGAGGCCTTGGACACCTGTGTGGCACAAGGAGGAGAAGGAAAGGTCAGATGGGACAGATACCCACAGCAGTCACAAGGCAGGGAGAGCCCAGAGGAGGCCACACACATGCTGTGGTACACACGCTGTGGAATATCCCACAGCCAGGATAAAGCATGAGGCTCTGACACAGGCTACACCATAGAGGGATTTTGAGGAACTTGTGTTCAGTGAAAGAATCACAGAAGCCACATAGTATATACTCAGTCCAGGATAAGATATTTCTAGAATGAATGAGTCCAGAGACAGGAAGTAGTAACTAACCGCTGCTAGGGAATCCGATGGGGTGATGGATCTGGTAATAGGTCTTTGCGTGGGCTTAGAACTGAAAGTAGTCTAACAAGCATCGTGAATACACAAAGTATCACCCACAGGGGCTGGGGACGTGGTCTGGGTGGAGCCCCGCCTGGAATCTTCCAATGAGGGGCTGGGGGCGTGGCTTAGAGTACACTGTTCGGTGTTCACGTGAACCTCCTGTCTCCCCCAAGGATTCTGGGTGGCAGCTCTGCCCGGACCACGCCCCCAGCCCCTTTTTTCTTTGTTTATTACACAGATCAAACAGTTTTCTTTTGATTTCATCTTTTGAAATGAAATGTTTTTGTTTCATTTTATCATTGCAAGAAATGAAAACCATGCCAAACTGTGGAAGCAGCCAGACAGGCATCTGCGCCATTGCTCTGTGTGTACCCCTGTTCGCATCTGTGATAACCAGAGGAAGACAAGGCACTGTGACACCAGGGTGAGCGGAGTCGCCCGCAGGGCTGGCCTGATGCGGCTCTGTCCCGACAGCACGCAAGCGGCTGTGGCTCACTCAGGGGCCAAGTGCGTGTCCCCTGGTTACACAGCCAGAATCTATGGCTGAGGACAGACGCCCACTCACGGGGTCCCCCTCACCCCCTGACGCAGCTCACCTTGATGCGTTCGATCCCGGCTTCGATGCGCAGCTGCTCCACCAGCTTCCGGGCCTGGGCGACGTTGTTAGTACCTGACATGATCAGCCATGAGCGTGGGCCTGGCGTCTAGAGAGCTGGAGGGCACAGAAGGTGTGGTGTGAACCCTGACCTCTGACCCCGCTGGCCTCTCACAGCAAGGGAACCCAGCTCTTGCCTCTGTCCATCCCTGCAGGCGGAGTGGCAAGGAGCAGCAGCCACTGGCCAACTCAGGGTCATCCCAGGCTCTCCCTGAGTCCCCCTCTTGGCCACTCATACAATCACGCATTCACTCATCAAATGGGTGTAGAGAATTGTGACCGCCAAGGCCCAGGTCTGGGGGCTGATGGTAATTCAACTAAAGGTTATCTGACTGTCCTGAGCTAGAAGATTATTCAAGCAGAGGCCCCGATGTCCCCAGATGGTAGCGGAACCAGTGGCCTGGGTATGGGCTGGGCTATCTGGGTGGGCTGGGCCAGAGAGATATGAACTCCTGGGGAAGCCACTGCTGGAGGGACTCTTCAGACAGCCCGGGTGGTGGAGGATTCCTACATGACTCCCTCCTGCTGGGCCACATCCAGCCCCTCTTTTACATACATTAGTTAGTTAGTTAGTTAGTTAGTTAGTTAGTTAGTGTGGGGGAGGGGACAGTGTAGGAGTCAGGACGGCCAGCCATAGTCCATTCTCTCCAGGGATTGAACGGAACTTGGCAGCAAGTGCTTCCCGGGCTGAGTCCTTTCAGCAGTCCAAACATTTCATTGTTTTAAAATATCTGTGTATGCGTGCCTGTTTGCATGTGTGAGTGCATGAGTGTGTGTGTGTGTGTGTGTGTGTGCATTTGCATGTATTACAGAACCGATGCAGAGGTCAAAGGACAAGTTGTAGGAGTCTGCTATCTTCCATGTGGGTCCTTGAGACAACACAGGTTGTCAAGTTTTTGCTGCAGTCACCTGTTCCAGCTGAGCCCTCTTGCCACCCCTTGTCTGTAGTTTATCAAATGTCGCATAAGTAATGCTCAGCAGAATTGCCTTATATTTTTTTTTTTGTTGCAGCTTGCCATGAGCTGACAGTGAATTGTTTTGTTTTGAGACAGCGTCTCCCTGTGTAGCCCAGGCTGGCCTGGAACTCTTGGCCCTTCTCCTGCCTCAGCTTTTCAAGGTCTGGGATGACAGGCACAGGCTGCCGCATCTACTTCATCAATGCCCCTAATCAGCTTTCAGTTAATGAGCATAACAGAACTCCTCTGGCCCTGCCTGGCTCCCTGGCTTGTGGGCACACATCCAGCCCCCTCCTGGGGACGGAGAGGCCAGAGCCTCCGTGTGGGCTGCGGAGAAATCGGTCAGCAGCGCTTCCAGGCAGGCATAGAAACCGCTCGGGCTCCAGGCCAAGATTTCTCTTGAGCTAAAGATAGTTGGGTAGAGAGAACAAGGACCAGGCCTCGCGCTTTTCCTGGGAAGCTGGGGAGAAGAGGGCAGGGGTGTGTGTGAGTGTGTGTGAGTGTGTGTGACTGTGTGACTGTGTGAGTGTGTGTGAAACTGTGTAAGTGAATGTGTGTAAGTGTGTGTGAGTGTGTGAGTATGTGTGAGTGTGTATGTGTGAGTATGTGTGTGTGAGTATGTGTGAGTGTGTATGTGTGAGTGTGTGTGAGTGTGTATGAGTGTGTGAGTGTGTATGTGTGAGTGTGTGTGTATGAGTGTGTATGTGTGAGTGTGTGAGTGTGTGAAACTGTGTAAGTGAATGTGTGTAAGTGTGTGTGAGTGTGTATGTGTGAGTGTGTGTGAGTGTGTATGAGTGTGTGAGTGTGTGAGTGTGTATGTGTGAGTGTGTGTATGAGTGTGTGAGTGTGTGTGAGTGTGTGAGTGTGAGACTGTGTGTGAGTGAATGTGTGTAAGTGTGTGTGAGTGTGTGTAAGTGTGTGAGTGTGTGAGACTGTGTGTGTAAGTGTGTGAGTGTGTGGGTGTGTGTGAGTGTGTGTGAGACGTAAGGATGCATCCGAGTGCAGGTGTGTGTGCGTGGAGATCATTGCTGCACGGACACAGTGGGAGTGGTCTGGAGTCTATCTTCAGGTGTGTGCTGTGTGTGCATGAGGATCTCTGCAGACAGGCACACGGCATGGGCAGTTCTCTGTGCATGTGTGTGTGGGTTTCTGTGCACACTAAGTCAGGGCTCCACTCAGGAGCCACACCTCCAGCCCCTCACTGGGGGATTCTAGGCCAGTACTTAATCATGTACACACACACACACACACACGCACACACACACACCCCTCTGCAAATCACCAGTATGAATGAATATGGCTGTATTTGTCCATATAGGTGTCTGGACATGTTTCTATCTTTCATGATTTTCCTGGTGCACAGTTTCGGTTTTCCATTGTGTCTGCTGCCCCTGAGCTGTGATTCTGCTGGCTGTTCCCTGCTGTCCAGGCAGAGAGTTGTGTCACCAGCCAGTCCCTGACTCATGCTCCAGCCATGCCCTCCACAGGTAGTAAGGGAGTCAACAGCAGCCAAAACCCTGAGCTGTGAGACAGCTAGCTCCTCCCAGGCAGCTGGCCACGGCTAGACTCGGCACGTGGCAGCCCTGGGGGAAGGTCTGGTGGTGCAGCGGGGCCTGCAGAGCTCCTGGCAGTGTCAGCAGTGACCACAGCCTGGTCTCCAGGGCAGCACAGACAAACTCAGGGCATTCATTATCTGTGGTGACTTGTTCGTAGCGAGGCTCTGAGCATCCTGCTGGAGTTGGAAGCCAGGGCTGGAGTCTAGCTCCACACGTGGGGAGAGATATAATTACACCTCCTATGTGCTGGGGAGGATGAAGATGGCCACTCCAGGACTGAGCATGGAGGAGACAGAGAGTAGAACTAACATAGAACTAAGAAACACAGGGAATGAATTCACCTAGTTACCCAGAATGCTCTGCATGGCGTCTGCCTCTACCCCTCCACTCAGGAGCTCCTCTGTGACAGCCACGCAAGTCTCTGGGGGCCTGAGGGGCCCTGGCATTCTCTTTTTGGTTCCACAGATCCCAAGAGATCCTGCCCCTTGGTCACGAGCCCAGCTGAGGACATGGAAGCCCACATGCCGAGAGGGGATAGAAGATGCCTGAGAAGCTGGGGTCCCCTGGGTGGATGTCTTTGGGGGGTCTAGTGCAGTAGAGACACCAGGCAGGTGTACCCAGGCTCTATGGATGGTTCTGGATGGTTCTCTATGCAGCTGGGCAGTGCAGCCTTATACAACCTGTCCTAACAACATTGGGGAGGCAGAGGCCAGCCTGGTCTAGGATAATCATGGCTACACAATGAGACCCTGTCTCAAAACCCCTGAATGAGTAAATGCTGAGGTGCTCACTGACCACAGGAAGACTGAGACTGGGGAAAGCAGGATAGCCTGGCTGGAGCCGCTCACACAGGAAGCTCTTAAGACAGACATGGAGGTGCATGGCTTTACCTAGCACTCAGAAGGTAGAGGGAAAAGAAGAAGTCAAGCCTATCCTTGGCTACATTGTGAATTCAAGGCCAGCCTCAAAAACAAAACACCACAACCACGACCTCTGGCCAAAGCCAACAGAGACACCTGGAAAGGGAAGGGCGCAGTAGGGCGGCCTTCTTGGTTTCTCCTTGAGTTTGTTTTGTTTTTGAGACAGGGTTTCTCTGTGCTGCCCTGGCTGTCCTGGAATTCACTCTGTAGACCAGGCTGGCCTCAAATTCACAGAGATCCCTCTGCCTCTGCCTCCTGAGTGCTGGGATAAAGGAGTGCGCCACCATACCCAGTAAGAGCTACCCTTCGTGGACTCTGTTTAATGACAGTTTCTATTAATGGTGAAACCCTTTTAGGTTCACAGTGGACAGAGTTTTAGAAGGACACAGGCCATTTCTGTCGCCCTGGCTACTGCACTGTGCTGTCATGGCAGCTGACCTCAGTGACCTTGGACCCAGTCTATATTTCCTTGTAGGTTGAAAGTCCTGGAATCTCACACTACCAAGGACCCGGTCTCACTGTATCAAAGACAGACGGCGCAGGCCAGAGACTCAGCAGGTAATGGTGCTGCTGCCAAGCTGGACAACCTGAGTTCAAGTCCTGGGACCCACAGAGTGGACAGTGAGGATGGATTTCCTGAAGTTACCCGAGCTCTGTACATATACTGTGGGACACACACACATACATATACACATATATGTACATATATACACACACATACACTATACACATACACATACATATATACATATACACACATACACTATACACATACACACATACACACATACATATACACATATATGTTCATGTATACACATATATGCACACATGTATAGATACATATATACACATACACACATACATATATACATATATACATATATGTACATATATACACACATACACACATACACATACACACATACATATATACATATATACATATATGTACATATATACACACATACACA